AGGAGTTGAGCTGCATGTTCAGATAAGAAGGGTCGGATCTGGGAAGGGTGTGAATCTGCACGATCGAGAAGTTCTAGAAATGTGATCAGTGAAGTTTAGTTGGTCATCAATCGTTACTCCAAGGCTTTTCATCGTTTTGGATGCAGTAATGGATGCCCCATCCATCTGGATTGAAAAGTTATGCTGTAGAGTCGGGTTGGCAGAAACTTCAAGCATTTCCGTTTTCGTGAGGACTAAAGGTAATCAGTGTCCAAGAGATTAAAAATGAAATGAAAAAGGAAAATACAATGGGAAGAGATGAACATGGGATACAAGGGAAAAGGAAAAAAATGGAGAAAGCAAGAAAAGCTAAATGAATAGGGGAAAATATAAAGAGAAATCGGTGAGGAAAAGAGGAATGTATAATAAAATTGAAACATTTTTATGGAAAAGAAAAGAGGAAAATGCAAAGGGAAAGTGAAATCAATTTGGATGTGGAAAAGGGAAACGCACACAGAAAGGCCAGTGTGAGTGTTTGGCAGTGCTGGACGTGTTGCTGCAAACCACAGGAGACTGAAGAGAACCACAGGAGCTGAAATCCTCTTAACCCCATCAAACTCTCCAACACTGAGGAAGAAAGCAGCTCCGGGATTAAACAACAAAAGATGAAAAGACCAGAAGGAAACAAAGCTTTGCACAGTGGGAGAAGACTCCAGCGAGAGGCTACTTCAGTCTGGACGCACACTGATCCCCACGCTCACGTTCATCCAGCACATCTGAGGAAAACCTGCTGTTAAACACACCATTAAACTCAAAAGATTATAATACAACAGCCTTCCACTGACCTTCAGTCAGTTTCTGATGAACTCAGATCAGCAATTCATAAGTTCACTCTTAAAAAGCACACACCACAGGCTTAGTTGTTACTACTGTAGGCAGTTTGAATAATAGTCGGCAGGAAAGAAAGCTTATGATTGTCAATTTTTCCCAAATCAGGACGTACATCCAGGTAATATCGGATCAGGCCGTATCCTTAGCTGCTGCTGCGCTGTTGGTCATGGGGGAGTGGAGAGCATGAGACCGATTCCAGTGAAGCTCCAGGGACAGACGAGTCTTCGCTGAGGCCAGCTTCCAGCCTCCTCTGCTGAGACTGCAGCTCTGCACAAGACTTTTGGCCAGCGGAGAAATTAAAATGGTCGTGCCTAACTGAGTCTGGTTCTCTCAAGGTTTTTTTTCTTCACTCTCCGCTGTCGCCACTGGCTTGCATGGTTCAGGATCTGAGAAGCTACTCATCGATGAATTTGCTCTTCAGTGTTTGGACTCTCAATAATGGCTTCAAACCACACTGAACTGAGCTAAACTGAACTGAACTTAAACATTAAAAACTGAACTACCCTGATCCAGTTACTATGACCAGTTATGTGAAGCTGCTTTGACACAATCTACATTGTAAAAGCGCTATACACATAAAGCTGAATTTAATTGAATTAAATTAATAAATCTGCACTAAAAGACAGATAGCCCCACTTTAAAAAACAGATAGCCCAGCCCTAAAAGACAGAAAGGCCCACACTAAAAAACGAATAGCAAGTTCCAAAAGGAAAGATAGCCCTGCCCTAATGTACAAAGAGCCCCACCTTAACACCGTACAGATGAACATGCCCTAAAAGACAGATAATCCTATCCTAAAGTACCAACACCCCCACCCAAAGGGATCCGATAGCCCCAGCCCAAAGGGATCCGATAGCCCCCACCCAAGGGGTCCAATAGCTCCCACCCAAAGGGACTGGTAGCCCTGGCCCAAAGGGATCAGATAGCCCCTGTCCAAAGGGATACAATATCCCCCGCCCAAAGGGACCGGTAGCCCTGGCCCAAAGGGACCGGTAGCCCTACCCCAAAGGGACCGGTAGCCCCCCATCTAAAGGGAACGGTAGCTCCCCACCCAAGGGGACCGGTAGCCCCCCACCCAAGGGGACCGACAGCCCCAGCCCAAAGAGGCCGATAGCCTCCACCCAAAGGAACCAATAGCCCCCGCCCAAAGGGACCGATAGCCCCCGCCCAAAGGGATCGATAGCCCCCGCCCAAAGGGATCGATAGCCCCCGCCCAAAGGGACCGATAGCCTCCACCCTAAGGGGCCGATAGCCTCCACCCTAAGTGGCCGATAGCCTCCACCCTAAGGGGCCGATAGCCCCCAACCTAAGGGACTGATAGCCCCCGCCCTTAGGGGCTGATAGCTCTCGCCCAAAGGTACAGATGAACCCCACCCTAAATATTAGATAACTTAGTCCTAAAGTACCAATAGCCCCAGCCAATGTGACTCATGAACACCGTTAAAGTGACCCAATGAACATGCCCAAAGGGAGCGGTAGCCCAGCCCAAAGGAATGTAGCCCCAGCCCTAAGGGACAGATAGCCCTCGTCCTTAGGGGTTGATAACCCTCGCCCCAAGGGACAGATAGCCCTCGCCCTAAGGGACAGATAGCCCTTGTCTAAGGGACAGATAGCCCTTGTCTAAGGGACAGATAGCCCTCGACCTAAAGGACAAACAGTCTCACCATGAAAGACCAATAGCTCTACCCTAAAGGACTGATAGCCCCACCATAAAGGACTAATAGCTCTGCACTAAAGGACAGAAAACCCCGCCCCAAAAAACAGATAGCCCTGCCCTAAAGTACCAATAGCCCTGGCCTCAAGGACAGGTAGACCTACCCCAAGTACCAATAGCCCTGCCCTAAAAGACTGACAGTCCTGCCCTAAAGCCATTCCATGTGAACAGAGGTAAAGAAAAGTTTTTCGAGGCAGAAGGGAAGGTTTTGGTATGATTAAAGCTTTAGATTTTTACTTCGGTAACACTTTATTTTGATGGTCCATTTGAGTATTAGTAGACTGTCTGCTTAATATCTGCTAATACTGCTCCTTCAACAGACTTTTAACCGACTATAAGAAACTTTGCAAGTACATGTCAACTTACACTAACCCCAACCTAACAGTCCACTTAAAATCTAGTGAGAATTAGTAGCCATGTAGATACATTGTAACATAAATTCAACAAATGGACCCTCAAAATAAAGTGTGACCTTTAATTTTATTTTAAATACAGTAAAAGAAACAATATGATAAAATATATATAATTTTTAAAAAGTATTTTAAGTCCATATATCAGGCATCCCTAATGGACACATTATGGCCTGTGTATTATAAAGTCATTCAGGTCTGCAGTCTTTAACCAGAGATGCAGAAATGACCGGCGAGTGACCGATACTGCATCGCTCTCCGCTGATATGTGTGTGTGTGCTGAATCTAAAGTGTGCTGTGCAGGAAAGCCACCAGAATGACAGACCAACAGAAGACCGTTAGGAGGAGAGATGCTAATGCTCATCTGATCTACACTTTGAGTTCAGAAACCTGTGCGAATCGGAGTCCTCAGACCATAAATTTATTTTAAGCTTTTGAGACTCAGAGACAGAAAGACAGAGAGACAGATGAGAGAGAGAGAGAGACTGTGCGGCTGAGCAGCTTGAATTAAAGAGAGACAGACAGGATGATGTAAGGATGAGGAGACAGATGGGATGAGGATGCCAATTACATTTGTTTGTGTGTGTGTCTTTGTGCATATGTGTGTACGTGTTTATGTGTGTGAGAGAGAGCGGGGATAACAGATTGGATGAGAAGAGAGACGGGATGAAAAACAGGATTGATTCAGAAAGACATGAATGAGGTTATATAAATGTTATAAAATAAAATAAAATATAAACGAAATAAAATAAAGTAGTTTAAGACCATTTATCAGCCATTGCTTATGGAAGCAGACGTGCAAAATAAAATAAAATAAAATAAAATAAAATAATAAAATAAAATAAATAAAATAAAATAAAATAAAATAAAATAAAATAAAATAAAATAAAATAAAATAAAATAAAATAAAATAAAATAAAACAGTTTAAGACCATTTATCAGCCTTTGCTTATGGAAGCAGACATGTGCAAAATAAAACTAAATAAAATAAAATAAAATAAAATAAAATAAAATAAAATAAAATAAAATAAAATAAAATAAAATAAAATAAAATAAAATAAAATAAAATTGTTTAAGCCATTTATCAGCCATCCCTAATGGAAGCAGACATGTGCATTATAAAATAAAATAATATAATATAAAAAATAATAAAAAAATAAATTAAAATTAATTAAATAGTTTAAGACCATATATCAGCCATCTTTAATGAAAGCAGACTTGCAATATAAAATAAAATAAAATAAAAAAATTAAATTAAATTAAATTAAATTACAATTTAATTTAATAGTTTAAAACTATACATCATATATAAAATAAAATTATAAAATAAAATAAAATAAAATTTCTATAAATTTTATAAACTCATTTTATATAAAAAAAATAAGTTAACATATAGTAAAGCTATATATAATGATAAAATGTTAAAAAAAAAAAAAATAATAATAATAAATAAATACATTTTAAAAAAGCCAAGCAGGACATGACCAATTAATCGAATCAAATCAATCCATACATCAATAAAACCCTAGGACAGGGGTGTCCAAACTCAGTCCTGGAGGGCTGGTGTCCTCTAAAGTTTAGCTCCAACTTCTTCCAACACACCAGCCTGGACGTTTCTAGTATACCTAGAAAGAGCTTGATTAACTGGTTTAGGTGTTTAATTTGGGTTGCAACTAAAATACGCAGGACACCGGCCCTCCTGGACCTAGATTCTAAAGTAAAGCAATTACAAACATGCAGTAAGATTACACCTACACTTCTGGATTATTTCATAGCAGTGGCTTTAGCGTGAGATTGAGCTCTTTAATCGGAATCCATTTCAATTTGTTGCTCATTCGTGAAGAAACCGAGACATGAATCCTGCAGAATAAACCTCTCACTCATCCCAAACTCAATGTTGACTTACTTCTGACTGTCTAAACATCTAATACAAATCTTTACATTCAATAAAACCATACCTCCTGATTAAACAACATCTGAAGATGCCACACTTAAGCAACACTCACCTGAGCTCCTTTGGGTCAAAGACCAGTTTGAGATCATTGACGATTGTCGGGACGTATTTGAGTGCAGCACCCTGGAAATGAAGCAACATTGATTTATTAGTATAATCAATGATCAACAAATACTATAAAGTAGATCAACCAAATAATAAAAGAAAATGTAAGTCATTTAGTTGTGACAAAAAAAAATGTTTTAAGGGACTTTGTTAACAGTGTTGCGATTCAGAAAGTGGGTGAAGGTGTCAGGAGTCTGTAATGATCATCAGAGTCTGTGATTTATCAATGAGAAACACACGCACATACACACTTCTAGGCTCTACATCAGGGGTCAACCAATCCTGGTCCTGGAGGTCCGGTGTCCCTGCAGGGTTTAGCTCCAACTTGCCTCAACACATCTGTCTGGATGTTTCAAGTATTCCAAGTAAGACCTTGATTAGCTTGTTCAGGTGTGTTTGATTAGGGTTGGAGCTAAAATCTGCAGGACACCGGCCCTCCAGGAACAAGTTTGGTGACCCCTGCTCTACATCATCCTAATCACACACGAGTTTATCTATAAAACTGAGAAAGTTGCCCTAATTGTCTACCAGAACATCAAATATAATGTCTGTAAAATGCAGAATATATTATGAAGTGTTTTCAAAGCAGATAAAGTTTATCTCGTTACTTAGTATTACTCATTGCTTAGTAATGAATAAAACAGTGAGTATAAATACACTACAAATCTCAGAACCAAAACACAATTTACTTTATTTTTTCACAAATAAGAAAAATTAATTACTAAATATAAATATTAATGATTAGAGATTAAGTTAAACATCTGTCAAAAGAAAGAAGTAAAAGAAATAAGAAAAATAAAGGAAAGGGAAAGGAAAAAAGAAGTGAAATAAAAAAATGGGGAAAGAAAAGGATGCAAATAAAAGGATGAGGAAGGAAAGAGAAAATGAAAAGGAAAGGTTGAAAAGAAAAAGGAAAAAGAAATAAAAAGAAATAAAGATAAAATAAAAAGGAAAGGGCAAATGAAAGGATAGGGGGAAAGAAAGGGAAAGGGAATATGAATAGGAAAAGGAAAGAGGGAAAAGAAAAAAAGAAAATGAAAGGTTGAAAACAAAAAGGGAAGAAATTAAAAGGAGAGAAAGAAAAGAAACTAAAAAGGAAAAAAGGAAAGGAAAGAAAGGGAAAGAGGAAGAAAGGAAAATATATGGAAAAGAAAGAGAAAAGGAAAGAAAAAAGGAAAGGGGAAGGGAAGGGGAAAAGGAAAGGGAAAAAAGGGGAAAAGGGGTGAAGGAAAGGAAAGAGGGAAAAGGAAAGGAAAAAAGAAAAAAAGGGTAAAGAAAATGGGGAAGGAAAGAGGGAAAAGGAAAGGAAAAAAGAAGAAAAAGAGAAAAGGAAATGATGGGGGGAGGGGAAAGGAAAGTAAAGGAAAGAAGGAAAAGGAAAATGAAAGGAAATGGAAAAAGAAAAAAGGGAAAAGGAAACAGTAAAGGAAAAGAGAAAAAAGGAAATTAAAGGTTGAAAAGAAAAAAGAAAGGAAAGAAATGAAAAAAAAAACGGAAAGATGGAAAGGAAAGAAAGGAGAGATAGGAAAGAAAGGAAAAAAATGAAGAAAAGGAGAAAATAAAAAAGGGAAAAGGAAATGGTAAAGGAAAAAGAAAATGAAATGTTGAAAGAAAGAAAAAGGAAAGAAATGAAAAGAGAAAGAAAAGAAGGGGAAAAGTAAAGAAGAAAAAAAGGAAAAGAAAAGAAAAGAAGAAAAAAAGGGAAAATAAAAGGAAAGGAAAATGAGCACAAAATGAAAATAGAAAAGAAAAGCAAAGAAAGGTGAATGGAAAAAGAAAGAAGGTTGAAAAGACAAAGGAAAAAATGAAAAAGAGAGAAAGGAAGGAAGGAAGGAAAGGAGATGCACAGAGCTCTTACAGACGTGTGTTTCTTTGAAAGGTTCAGATTGTGTTCAGCATTACTCTCTGTGTCTTTGATCAACTTTGACAAGGATCTTGTTTCAGGACCAACAACAGATCAGGACTGAAGAATATGCCACACTTCTCAAAACAAAACCAGCACATGAAAGCTTATAAACCTCACTTTAGGAAAGACACAACTAGCAGCTCTCCTTCCTCAAGCATTACTTTAGGAATCTGCAGATAAACGCCTGCTCTTATTCCAGTCACACTGAGGGTCCTGAGAGTCTGGGTTTAAAACAGCTCCTTCTCTTTGATCTTCATCACTTTCTGACATGCTTTGAAATCATTTAAAAGAAAACAGAACGAGTGAAAGAGCGGAGCGTTCGAGTCAACAGTTGAGCTGCTGTTTTTAACCTGAGAGATGAGGTCCTGTGCTTTAAGAGTCTGCTGGAAAAACTGAAGATCTCAGGTCGAGGCTTGCGTTTGACTCGATGTGTTTTTGATATTAGAATGCAGAAGTCAGGCCGAGAGTTTAACAACAGCGACTTCAGTGAAACTAAAATACAGCACACATCAGACAAAACTACATCACACTTCCACACAAGACTGATGACGGGAAACATTACAAAAATAACTGCAACAACTGATATTGTATCTACAACTAATGATAAAAAAAATCAACAAAAACACAAACTGTAGAAATGTGAATGAAATAAATCTTTCTAAAAATTAGAAAAATACACATTTTAAATGATAAAAAATTATAATATTAAAATGATATATACATGGGCGAGGCAGAGGCGCAGTAGGTAGTGCTGTCGCCTAACAGCAAGAAGGTCGCTGGTTCGAACCTCGGCTCAGTTGGCGTTTCTGTGTGGAGTTTGCATTTTCTCCCTGCCTTCACGTGGGTTTCCTCTGAGTGCTCCCCAAAGTCCAAAGACATGCGGTACAGGTGAATTGGGTAGGCTAAATTGTCCGTAGTGTATGAGTGTGTGTGTGTGGATGTTTCCCAGAGATGGGTTGCGGCTGGAAGGGCATCCGCTGCATAAAAAGGTTGCTGGATAAGTTGGCGGTTCATTCCGCTGTGGCGACCCCTGATTAATAAAGGGACTAAGCCGACAAGGAAATGAATGAATGATATATACACTCACCGGCCACTTTATTAGGTACACCTGTCCAACCGCTCAACGCAAATTTCTAATCAGCCAATCACATGGCAGCAACTCAAAGAATTTGGGCATGTAGACATGATCAAGATGATCTGCTGCAGTTCAAACGGAATGACTGAGCGTCACTTAAATTTAAACTTAAACATGGTTGTCAGTGCCAGACGGGCTGGTCTGAGTATTTCAGAAACTACTGATCTACTGGGATTTTCACACACAACTATCTCTAAGGTTTACAGAGAATGGTCTGAAAAAGAGAAAATATCCAGTGAGCGGCAGTTCTGTGGGTGCAAATGCCTTGTTGATGCTAGAGGAGAATGGCCAGACTGGTTCCAGCTGATAGAAAGGCAACAGTAACTCAAATAAGCACTCGTTACAACCACTGTCTGCAGAAGAGCATCTCTGAACACACAACACATCCAACCTTGAGGCAGATGGGCTACAGCAGCAGAAGACCACACCGGCTGCCACTCCTGTCAGCTAAGAACAGGAAACTGAGGCTACAATTCACACAGGCTCAGCAAAATTAGACAATAGAAGATTGAAGAAACGTTGCCTGGTCTGATGAGTTTTTGCTGGGACATTCAGATGGTAGGGTCAAAATTTATCGTCATAAAGCTCCAATCATCTCAGACTGGTTTCTTGTACATGACAATGAGTTCACTGTTATCAAATGGCCACCACGGTCACCAGATCTCAATCCAATAGAGCACCTTTGGGATATATATATATATAAAATATATAAAAGAATATGCTTATGAAAAAAATCATTTGAGTTAATAATTAATTGATAAAGTAAGGTATAAAAAAAATTGCATCTAAATATTCATATATTATCCATTCATCCATCTTTATTTTATTTGTTTACATTAGACTAGCATTGATTTATTTTTTTTTAATTTAATATTTTTTTCATTACATTTATTTCAGACTAGATTTCATTCATTTAATTGAAAATATTTTTAATTTAATTATTTTTTATAATAGAATAGACAAGATTTAATTTAGTTTGTATTAATTTATTAATAAATCTAAATATTTTTGGAGTATATTTGATTAATTTTATTTAACATATTTTGTAATTTAATTAAATTGTATTTATTTTATTTTATCAGATTAGGGAAGATTTAAATATTTAGTTTCAATTAATATTAATAATTTTTCTATTTATTTTATAAAAAAAAATTCATTTTATTTTATATATAATTTTATTTTAGACCAGATTTAATTAATTTGAAATATGTTTTTTTTTTTTTTAATTTAATGATATTTAATTTAACGGTATTTCATTTAATTGTACTATTTTTATTTTATTTTGTTCCATTTTATTTTATTATTACAGGCCTAAACCAGCCCTAAACACTGTTGGATTTATAAATGCAGAAGGGAACATCCTAAAAACCATCTCTATTAGTGAAATATAAAGTCACAAAAGCATTGACAGATGAGTAAATGACTGCATCGTTTAACCAGCCGGCGTTTAACCAGCCATCTCATAACACACACACATACATCTCACCTTCACCCCTCCGGTCCCTTCAGCACCGCTGTTCATCATGGCATTAAACGAAGCGAAGAGATTCCTGAGGGACTCCATGAAATCACTCTCTCCTTTGTTCTCATAAAGCCTGAAGGAAAAACACACACACACACACACAAACAGCAGACGATCAGGAGCTCGTTTCATCTGAATCAGGGGACGACACACACCAATGTGTTCAGTATGCAAATCTACAGCATCAAACTGACCAGAGCACAACAAATACACATGAGAACCAATGCATCTCACACACACACACACACACACACACACACACACACACACAGTTCTTGACAGTAACCTGTAGCCATTTACCCTACTATTAACCCTAACAACTGTGTGTCTATGGTACATTTGCACATGGAATTTACATCCAAAAATATAGTTTAATTGAATTATAAATATCTATAGATCAATCAAGATATTACCAATTTCCTGAAAAAATAATTTATTTATGATAACTATAATATATTAACTTACAATTTTGGGATAATAAGCGCACATACACACCCAAAAACACATGCAAAAACACACAAATGAAAGCACACAAACATACTACCAAACACACAGACATACTCCCAAACACACACCCCCACAGACATACATACACACACACAGAAGCAGACTTACAAGCATATGCACACAAATACACACACACTCAAACACATGCTCTCACAAACACACACATTTACAAATTCACAGTCACAAAGACATTTTCAAACACAAACTCCCACAAAACTCCCTTTCAAATAAACACGCTTATAAAAAAAAAACATACACACACTAAAGAACAAACGCGCACATAGAAACAAACACACATTTTCAAATACACACACACACACACGCATGTTAGAGTGTCAGCTGTAGTGCAGCAGGTGATTAGGGTGTGATCAGGCTGATGAATTGCTCTGTAATATATCTTGAAGAACAGAGAAGCAGACAAACACTGGAGGATTTCTCAGTCAGTCACTCAGTGCTCAGAGACAGCCTCATGCTGTTAGTGCTGGATGATTTTCTGGAGCTCTGAGGTCACACACACAAACCCTCATCCAGAGCATTTACAGCCCTCCATTAAAACACAAACAACTACACTATCAATCCTGTTAAACACACTGACATGCTCTTCATGCTCCTGCTGGCCGTCAAAAAAGTCTGAATAAAATACAATTAAACTAAATACAATGTTTAAAAAACACCTGTTCAACAGTTCAATAATGCAAATTTCTAATCAGCCAATCACACGGCTGCAACTCAAGGCATTTAGGCATGTGGACATGGTCAAGACGATCTGCTGCAGTTCAAACTGAGCATCAGAATGGGGAAGAAGGGGGATATTTTGTCCTTCATACTTTGCGGCGTAGATTCAACAGGGCGTTGGAAATATTACTCAGAGATTTTGCTCCATATTGACATGATAGCAGATCTGTTCTAAAGGCAAAAGGGGTTCCAACCCGGTGTACCTAATAAAGTGGCCGGTCAGTGTGTGTGGGTGCATGTATGTATGTGTGTGTGTGCGCGCGTGTAGGTATGTGTGTGTATATATATATATATATATATATATATATATATATATATATATATATATATATACATATATATATATATATATATATATATATATATATATATATATATATATATATATATATATATATATATATATATATATATATATATATATATATATATATATATATATATATATATATATATATATATATATATATATATATATATATATATATATATATATATATATATATATATATATATATATATATATATATATATATATATATATATATATATATATATATATATATATATATATATATATATATATATATATATATATATATATATATATATATATATATATATATATATATATATATATATATATATATATATATATATATATATATATATATATATATATATATATATATATATATATATATATGAACTCATAAATGTGTACATTGTCCAAATGATTATTTTCTACTAAATATATACTTTTTACAAAAACAATTACATAAATTGAAAAGTTTATACTTAAATTGATATTATGTAAAGATTACTTTTTCATTTCTTCATACCATCTAACCTCTCTCTGGTATACTACTTGCCTAATTCCTGGTCTCAATATTCAGCCTGACAGCAGCATCTGTAACATC